TACGACTAACGATCTCTTTAGATTGGATAATGCATTATTACTAACAAAGATCGAGTGCGTAGCGGTTTCTATGTTCATTGTCGCATGCCTAATCCGCATTAATGTATATTTACATAAAATCATTTATTTAAAAGAGCAACACCCAAGTTTTTTACTCATTCCTCTTGTCATCGCTCGTTCGGAATGCAGACTTATTCGTGGTGGAATAAAAAAATATTCTTATTTCTATTGTTAAATACAGCATTTAAATCCATTCCTTAGTTTAAAAGATCTAAGCCAATGATTCCCAAAGTGGTCTATATCGACCCCCAGGGGTCTATGACAACTGCAAGGGGTCTACGACAGCGGTCATCTTGTTGTTTTTACTTTATGTTTTTAACACTAAACTTTACTACAGTTAGAAATTTACAAAAAATCTATGCCAGGTAAGAATGGAGGGGTCTACCTAAAACAAAAAATATGGCAAGGGGTCTACGACACAAAAAAGATAGATCAGAGGATCTAAGCGAACAGACAGCGACTTACTTAGTTTACTATGTAAAGATGTAAAACGAAACCATTTACAAGAGGTTCATGAAAACAGAAGATTCGCGCGTAAGAAATTTCGTATACAGTCAAGTTAAAAATAAATTCTGACCGGATTAATGAAATAACGAAAATATATACGCGGTTGATACGCGTAACACTTGCTCGTCCTACTTATGTCACTCTGGATATTAGACTGTCCGCGGGAAATTAAGATAAGTCATTTTTTGCGTGAAATCAAGGGACGTGCATGTGATTTTTTTTAATTTTATGTAAATTTATTTTAAGATTTTGTTTTATACATGTCAATATCAAGCTAATCGTAACAATTCTTAAAAATAAAAATAAGCAAAATTAAATAATTACCAACTGAGAGGGATCCATTTATAATTGCTTTTATCAGCACATAAAAACACAGCACAATCTCAGAAGTAGGGTAAATATAACACTTGTACGATGAGTGAATCAGGAGACGGCAGTGATTCATAAAATGACACGGGTTCAATTTGGATGACTTGTTGGAAATACCTCAATGTGTTATTGGAACTCTTGAATCACATTCTAAGTGTGTAGTCCTTACATAGTATAAAACAAAGTCGCTGTCGCTGTCTGTCCGTCCCTATGTATGCTTAAATCTTTAAAACTACGTAACGGATTTTGAAGCGGTTTTTTTATTTGATAGAGTGATTCAAGAGGAAGGTTTATATGTATAATACATGTACAGACTAGCTAGTATATTATAAGAAAACTACCGTATTATTTGTTTAAGGGGTTATGCCTAGTTGAAAGTGTTTAAAACGTGCTTTTTCCGATTTTTTTTGTAAAATGACATTTTGTTGTAAACTAGCTATGTGCTTGTCTTTGCTCAATGAAATTAAGCCTATATATTATTCTGATGTATAAGCTATAAATTTCATCAAAATCCATTCAGTAGTTTTTGCGTGAAAGAGTAACAAACATCTATCCATCCATACTCACAAACTTTGGCGTTTATAATTTTAGTAAGATTACATAAAAATATATACATTATTATAATTATTTTTATTTATTTATTCATTCGAAACAATAGGAATTGTGTAGGATAACATATGTACAAGGTCTAAAACATAATAGTAACTTAAACAATACGAAATTTACTCTTATGTTTTAGGTTACCATCATATTTATGATCATATTATAATAGTATAGTCAAGTACACATAATACAAGTTTTGCTTATCTCGAGATTAGCTGGCTCTGCGAATTGTCCAGGATTATTAATATCATTATTATTTTCTTTTTATTTCTTTTCATTTTTATTTATTCATTCATATATATTTTAATGACTCTTTTTTTTACTAACATTAATTAATATACAACAAGGTAAGTATTAAATTTTTAATACACACAATTACGAATACACTACAGAAACATATAAAAATCGAAGTATGGAATACTTAAAAACGAAAAAATCCTTTTGAATCATATTTGTATTGATATTGAAAGGAAACTGAAGCGTTGTCCGTTGAAAATCTATTTTCTGCGGTGTAGAAAAATGTAATTGTAATGTTGGAAATGCAATTCTTTGTTATGAGATAACAAGCTGATCCAACATGAAACAATGTTAAATAAATATATTGAGTTTCACAATGCTTCCAATGCACCGTGATTTATTTAATGACGCTCAAACATTTGAAATAGTTGCAATCAAGTCTAGCTATAAGGCTCATAATTGAAATCCTCAATCTTATTTCTTTTTTTATCTTTTTTTAACCACCGACGCAAAGAACGCGTATTATAAGTTTGCAATGCATTAGCATATATGTGCCTGTGTATCGTTTTTCATAAACTACTATGGTAGTAAGACAAGCATACGGCCCATCTGATGGTAAACAGTTACCGTGGCCTATGTAAGCCTGAAACAGCAAGAGCGTCACGTGTCCGTTGTCGACCCTTAATAAACCCTTCATGAAAAATCCCAATATTATAATGAGGTAAAGTTTGTATTTTTTGTTTGTTTATTCGGGGTAAACTCCAGTGCTGCTGATCCGATTTTAAAAATTCTTTCACTGTTAGAAAGGTATATTATCCCCGCGTGCTATATAACATCACGCTACAACCAATAAGAGCAGAGCAGCAATGAAATGTATAACAAAAAATATTCATTTTAAGTGCTTCCCTTGCGTACGCTGTTTTACACAGGTTAAAGTTACGCAAAAACTATGTATGACGGAATTCTTCACCTTTAAAAGTTCTAAAACAAAGTCTGCGACAACATATGTCTATAAATATAATTAGTAAATTTCGGAATCTAAATAACGTTTTATTTTTTTAGTCCATATTTCAGTGTTTGAACCACCATGATCACGGGTAAACTGAAGAGCGGGTAGATGGTAAATAAAATCCATTATGGTCAGACATAGTCTACCTTCACACGCATAATGATAACCGCGCTAAAATAAAAATAAATAATAAAAGATTTTATTTACCATGTACCCCCTGTACATGGTAAATAAAATCCTTTATGGTCAGACATAGTCTACCTTCACACGCATAATGATAACCGCGCTAAAATAAAAAATAAATAATAAAAGATTTTATTTACCATGTACCCCCTGTACACGATAAATAAAATCCTTTATGGTCAGACATAGTCTACCTTCACACGCATAATGATAACCGCGCTAAAATAAAAATAAATAATAAAAGATTTTATTTACCATGTACCCCCTATCAATGGTAAATAAAATCCTTTATGGTCAGACATAGTCTACCTTCACACGCATAATGATAACCGCGCTAAAATAAAAAATAAATAATAAAATATTTTATTTACCATGTACCCCCTGTACATGGTAAATAAAATCCTTTATGGTCAGACATAGTCTACCTTCACACGCATAATGATAACCGCGCTAAAATAAAAATAAATAATAAAAGATTTTATTTACCATGTACCCCCTGTACATGGTAAATAAAATCCTTTATGGTCAGACATAGTCTACCTTCACACGCATAATGATAACCGCGCTAAAATAAAAATAAATAATAAAAGATTTTATTTACCATGTACCCCCTGTACATGGTAAATAAAATCCTTTATGGTCAGACATAGTCTACCTTCACACGCATAATGATAACCGCGCTAAAATAAAAATAAATAATAAAAGATTTTATTTACCATGTACCCCCTGTCAATGGTAAATAAAATCTTTATGGTCAGACATATATATGAAAACTAGCCAAGTTAGACCTTATGCTAAAGTATATTATCCTAGTTATAAGAAGAAATGATATTTTATATTGTTATAAATACATTTCAGGACAGACCATTGAACTTGGCACCCATTTAGATCTCACCTCTTTTGTCGAAGAAGTCAACAATCAAGGCATATATCATAATGTTGAACTCGGCTATCATTTCACATTTATGTTTTTGATGGGATATCATTACTTTTTGTTCATAAATTTTTAGTAAGTACTTATTTATAACAAAATTAATATCAAATTCTTTTTTTACACTACTATATTTTTCTGCGTTTACGGGGTCGCTTCTGAGCGCGGCTGCCACTCGCTCGGATACGTTTAGAAAGCAACACCCCCGCTCCGGCGTCACACCGCGCGCCGTATAATGCCTATTATTGAATAAATATTTATAAATAATGATCTTACACTATTGGTGTGCGATAAATATTGAAACAATTATACTAAATCCCAGTTAATAACGTAATAAATACGGAACTCCACTGTACTCTTTTATTATTGTTATAAGTATACTTTAGACAGATTATATAGTAAAATCAATGCAATGTTTGAAGTTCGCTAGTTATCGACCGACACTGATGTGAAGGGGTCAATGTAAATTGGTAATGATCGACGTTTTCATACAATATTACTTTCCGTCCAGTACAAGATGAGATATTTCGCCAGGGATCAATGTCAATTGGTGGCTATCGACGTATTCATAGAATTTTAGTAATCGTCCAGTATAAGTTGAAATATAATCAATTAAAGTGAAAAATTGTAGTAAAATGATAACAATTTACCAGTTTCAGATTTTTTCCTTTATATTCACCTAATTACCTATCTGCATGCCAAATTTGAACTTCCTAGGTCATCTGGAAGTGGGTTATAATTTTGATCTATAGTTGATCAGTGATAAAAATGACGATTTTTGGACATTAATATCTAAATGATATATGTTTATGAAATTTGGAACACATATTTATCTCGCAAGTCTCAATATATGAACCAAATTTGACAGGTTTGTGTGAAAGAGTTTTTGAGTTATGAGGGGGTCAAAAGTGGCTCCAAATGGTTCGTGTAAATATATATATTTATATATGCCGCGTGTCTAGATATTTATATATCTCTCGTTTCAGTGTGCCTTTTTGCATAGGCATCCTCCAGTGACCTCCATTGATTCCTATCCTGTGCAACTCTTCTCCATTTAGACGGCTTATTAATAATTAATATTTATTGTATTAATGTACTCACATCTTTCTCCTTGGCGTAGTAGAGGGTCCGCCCGCGCAACCGGAAGTACCGGCGCTGCCAACGTTGGAAACTGCGCGTCTGCTTCATCAAGTAACCCTCCTTGACCACGGGCTGCAAATAAAAGCATGTTTATGTAAATTTATGGTCTAGCTGTATAGTACACCGTCTTACTTCCGATGGTCACGAGTTTGATTCGTAGTAGGGTAGAAGAAATTGTCTATCAACAAACTTCTTTGGGAAAGCAACCAGCTCTATAAACACAGTAGCAAAGTAAAGCAGACCTTACGACTACTGTACTGTAGGCTTTACTACTGTACAGCACTGTTTTATATCATCTATATAAATAAATCAATATGAAGCGTCTGTTTGTAATTTCAAATTAACAGCTTTTCATTAACTGTATAAAAGCATATACAGTGGTTACATTCAAAAGTTAACTTATAAATTTTTGTTTAGCTAATTTCATTAAATTCAAATTATATATAATTCATGTAGGACATTTTAGCCGCTTATACAGTCCAGTTCGGTATATAGACATTTCAAGAAACTCAATTGAATTACTTTTTTTTTTAAAGCCAGTTTATTTACAATGTATATTTATATAGGTGTCTATGTCTAACATTAAATGAAAATTCAGTGCATGAACAACTATTGCCATGCACACTCGTCATTCAAGTAATCGTTTAGTGAGTAATAGGCTTTGCTCAGTAAATATGATTTAACAGATGTTTTGAATTTATTTAAGGGTAATTCCAACATATCTTTGGTATCTTATTGTAAATTTTTATACCTATTCCCATAAAAGACCTATTAACTTTTTTGATGGAATTTTCATCTTGTATTAATATTATGAATATTGCTTTTTTTTGGAAATAAGTCAAGATTTTTATGAACATATAGGATATTTGAATATATAAATTGAGAAGCAACGGTGAGAATATTTGCCTCTTTGAATTTCTCTCTTAATTACTCTTCATACTTTAACGTTTTTTTATGAATATATTTTTAAAAAAATATTCATAAGAGAGTTATATTGACTAAAAAAAATCAAAACCACGGCAAAAGCTGCTGAACTTAGTTTCGCTGCAAGGCTTTGAATTTGTGCACCCCATTGTGTTTTATTATCTAGTGTGATTCCTAGAAAGACAGTAGATTCTATAAATTCCAGAGATTCGTCGTCTTGATGGGATTTTCACTCGAAGATAGCTAATGTTACAAGGAGTAACTTACTCAACTTTAATTTTAGAAAAAATATTCATTGTATTGAAAAAAATCAAAAAACAATCGATAATATATATAGTATACATGGATACTCGTATATTTAAAAGAAACTGTATAAAACAATCGAAAATATATAGTATCTGAAACTAACAACATTCTTATCAACGTAGTTTCCTATTATCTATCGGTTTTATAAAAACCGCTGAATCGTTTCGTGCGATAGGTATCGAGCACTAGACAAATAGAAGGCGAAGGGAAAATATTGCAAGAAAAATATGGTTAAAAACACAGGATCGGAGGTAACAAGGTTATCGTCGTACGAAAAATATCCCCTATCCACAAAAATTTAGGGTTCCTTCTGCAATAAACTAGATATTGCCCGTGACTTCTCAGATATTTTTGTCTGTCTTATCACGAAAAATTGCATTAGGATCCGTTGAGCCGTTTAGTGCACACACGGCACAGAGACGTGGTCGCTAACTATGGGTCTCATGAACAAGCTCAGCGTCACTCAGAGGGCAATGGAGAGGGCTATACTCGGAGTTTCTCTGCGTAATCGAATCAGAAATGAGGAGATCTGCAGAAGAACGAGAGTTTCCGACATAACCCGAAGAATTGCGACACTGAAGTGTCAATGGGCAGGGTACACCACGGACCGTGGCGGACGACGGACCAGAAGACGCAGCGTGGGTAGGCAAGGGTAGTGCAGCAAGGTGGAATGACGACCTGTTCAATATCGCTGGATGCGAGCAGCGCAGGACCTTATCCCTATCTCCAGTACAGACTCTTATGATATGTTTATATATTGAATTAGGTTGTCTAGTTAGCGCTGTGTGTATTTATTATTTATTTATACATTAACTAGCTACTCGCCCCGGCTTCGCATGGGTGTACATGTATTATATATATAAACCTTCCTCTTGAATTACTGTGTCTATTAAAAAACCGCATCAAAATCCGTTGCATAGTTTTAAAGATTTAAGCGTATATAGTAACACAGACAGGGACAGCGACTTTGTTTTATACTATGTAATGATTTTAAATAAACAATAAATGCGTACCTAATGCTAAATTTTAAAAATAAGTAAAAAATACCTTCGTTAATGTCACTCAAAACCAGATACGGAACCGTGCATATTATAGACGTTACTTTTCATTTTCTACAGTGCTGTTTATGCTCTTTTGTGTGGAGAGAGCCCGAGGCGGCCCTTGTTGCAGTACATTCGTTATGTTGTAAGTGCCGGGGCCGAGCGGCGGGGGGCGGCGACCAGTTGCTTTTTACATTTACCACCATTACCAGCTCATTAAAAAACTATTTTTAATTAAGACACTTGTAAATAAGGCAAAGGAAAGAAAATAACGTGTAATGTAATATTTACAAGGACTGGTTATGTTTGTAATTATTTCAGTATTATACATTTTAAAAATGTAACGAGAAAAAGAAATAAATATATTTATGATTTTATGTTAGATTTATACAGTTTATATATTACAATTTATATATTTTTTAAGGTAAAAGATAGAAAAAAATCTATGCTCGCTGTATTCTCGGCTTTTTTAATCACTACGACAGATTCAATCTTATTCAGTTAATTAACCAGTCGCTTGTGTCAATATTTTGATTCTCATAAATTACTGCTAGTTGGTAGTATGTATTCACATATTACAACTTAAAAATGTAAATGTACAACAATCATTTAAAAGAGCAACATATAAGTTATTTGCTTTTTTTTTCTTGTATCTGTTTGATGAGACAGCTTTTTGAACGAGCGGTAGATAAAAAAAAATAAGTATATATACTGAAAAGTGCTTTAAAATTTCAATACATAATTTTCTATATTCTAATATTCTATTCTATTCTTTAGAAGAGGCTTCACGCAACATTATTTATATACAAATACAATATCAAAAACTGTTCTCTACGCGAGCAATGCCACAGAAAACAGTTAGTCAGAAATAAAATATTATTCTCAACCCGGCCTCTGAAGAATGTCTTTATACAAACAACAGAGAAATTACCTCCAGAAAACCTTTTACACGGAAGCAAGTATAACTAACAGTATTCCGTAAAGGAGCATAATTCACATCCGGCGGCCGTTTTTGGTTAACATTTTCCACCGGAAATTCACCCCTCTAAAAGTTATTTAGTTGCTAAATACGTAAAATTCTCGGATTAAATTTTTATACACGGAAAATGACATTTTGCTCCCTTTCAATTTCCTTGGTCATTCTCAGAATGAGTCTGCGTTCCGAATGAGTGGTAGACTCAAAAATATTTAACTATTCAAAAGTGCTTATATAAAGTTTATGCGAATGAAATGTATTTCTATTTCTCTATATATATATTTGCTGATTCTGTTATATGGATAAAATACATTATCTGTAGACATTATATTAAAAAAAAAGTTTCCCCTCAAGGCAATCTCATATTTAATTACTTAGAAATATATTTTATTCCCCAATGAATGTAATATCAATAAGTATTAAATCGTAAATTAAAAAGAATCTCTAGAGAAGAATGAAAATCTATTCAGTAAAGAAGTCTAAGATATAGTATATAAAAGTACATAAATTAACAGTAAAGTGTCTTATAACTACAGGTATATATAAGAAGAAAGATAATATGTTTGAGAACAGGAGAAAGAAGTCCAAGATGCAGGTATATAGGAGTACATAAATTAACACTAACGTGTCTTATAACTACACGTCTATATATAAGAATAAAGATAATATGTATGAGAACAAGAGAAAGAAGTCGAAGATATATATATAAGTACATTAATTAACAGTAACGTGTCATATAACTGTTATACACGTATATATGATTGTGATGACGTCACAGCGCAGTAATTGATGACCGAGCCTCTCCAAGTCCATTAGGCCGGGGCTCTTAAGAATCTAGTAAGTAGACACCTATATTCGATATTCCGCATCCGAATTTGAAATAGAATTGGAGATCTGTATACATATAACCTTACAATATTGATTGATCATTTCATTAACTGATTAACTATTAAATCATTATCTTAATAATATTATAAACGCGAAAGTTTGTGAGTATGGATGTTTGTTACTCTTTCACGCAAACACTACTTACCGTAATATAGCTTATGCATCAGAATAACACATAGGGTATATTTCGATGGTCTGAAGTTCCATTACTCTCATATTCCAAACGTTTGTATTCATAAGTATCATTGTTTGTATTGGTCTGGGTGTTTCCTATGTACATATTGTCAAATAAATATTTTATATATTTATATCAGTTGTCTAGTAATCAAAACACAAGCTCTGTTTAACTTGGGGCTAGATGGCGCTGTGTAAATTCTCATCCCAAGGGTACATGATTTCATACCATTTATCTGCTACGTATTACAATCGAAACACAGATAACATTATATAGTTACAGATACCCATTCTATATTCTATATCTCTACCTTGTACTATTATACAATTTCTACCTCGGTAGAAACTAGCTTCTGCTGCTGCACTAACTAACAAAACGTGAAATAGATTTCAGCATCAATGCTGCCAATGACAGATTGACTTCCTTGCGCTTACTGCTCGAAACCATCGTGATTAATTTCTGCTGAATTGACTGACCTAATTCCATCTTCATATTATTATCTTCCACTGGTGCCCTGCCGAGCTGCTGCTGTTAGCAAAGACGGGTGCACCATTCCATATTAAAACATAAAAACAAATCACAAAACTGTCGCAACTCCACCTCCTATTCGGAGCAGTTAAAATTAAACTATTTCACCTGAATTTACTGTCGTTTAATAATAGCCCGACAAACTAATATAGATAACTGTGCGCTCTCAAATCACATTTAACTGTGCCAATAAACGTTTTATGGTTATTTTTAGTGGAACATTATAACTGTCGGT